TGAGGATTCACAGGCCCACACTGTTGCTCTCCTTAATTTCCTGGCCTCCAGAGGGTATCGAGTGTCCCCCAGCAAGGCCCAAATTTCTTCTCCTTCAGTCACCTATTTGGGAATCCACCTCACCTCCAACACCAGGGAAATAATGGTGGATCACAAGAGTTTAATTTCTGAACTACCAACTCCTACCACGAAGAGTGAAATTCTCTCTTTCCTGGGGCTTGCAGGATATCTCTGCATGTGGATTCCCAACTTTGGCATGCTAGCAAAACCACTTTATGAGACAGCCAAAGGGGATTCTGTCATTCCCTTAGATCCCACAAAGCCTATTCATCCTCCATTCCAGCAATTAAAAGCTTCTCTTCTCGCAGCCCCAGCTCTATCCCTCCCAAACCTATCTCATCCTTTTATCCTATACATCATCAAAACCTAAGGATTTTCAGTTGACAACCCCATAGCCCTGGGAAACAAACTGGTGGATCTAACCACAAAACAGGCTGCTCAATCTCCAGGTCCCCACTCTTCCTCTCTCACTCAGGTCTTTCTCATGGTCCCTACACCCTTACTTCAATACACACCTCAAGAAATACAACACCTCCAACAATTGGGAGCACAGAGGAAGGACAACTGGTATACTCTCTCTGGTGGCTATGTCCTTCCTACCTACCACACAAGCTGAGCAAATCCTCTTAGATTTCCATAATTCAGTTCATATAGGCTATGAACCCCTACTATGCTTTTTTCAGCCTTTATATTACTCTTCCTACATGGCCAAGTAACTTAAACAAATCACTCAAAATTGTCCTTTGTGTACTCATTGCTCCAATCAAGGTGGCCTCCAAGTTCAGTCCTTTCCCACCCACCAGGCCAGATGATACACTCCTGGCCAGCATTGGCAAATTGACTTTACTCACATGCCTCCCCACAAAAGGACATACTATCTTCTAGCCTTAGTAGATACATTTTTAGGTTGGGTTGAGTCCTTTCCCTGCACTTCAGAGGATGCTACAGCAGTAACACATGCTCTCACCTCAGAAATCATCCCTCATTTTGGCCTCCCCACCAGCCTCCAGTCTGATAACAGCCTGGCATTCATTTCCAAGATTACACAACTCACAGCACGGGCATTACATATCAAACTGGACTTACGTACACCATATTGGCCTCAGTCATCAGCCAAAGTAGAAAAATCCAATCACCTCATAAAAACACACCACACCAAGCTGTCCATTGAAATTCACCTCTGTGGACCCAACTTCTCCCTTTGGCACTCACTCGCCTGCTAGCTGCCCCCCACAAGCCCCAGGCCTCAGCCCCTTTGAGCTTATGTATGGTAGACCCTTCACTCTCACATGTCTTCCTTCCAGCTCATCGCCTTTAGGCCAGTATCTCCCTACTCTTTTGCTCATTAGGGATCTTCTTACCTCATCCTTTCCCCACCAACCCCTCAGACTTTAAACTGAGCCTGGGACAAAAAGTGTATATTATAACACAAATCCAAAAGCCCCTCTCACCATGTTGGGAAGGGCCTTATACAGTACTTCTTACCACCCACATAGCAGTAAAAGTACTAGAAAAGACCCCTTGGTATCACTTATCCTTGGTAAAACTAGCACCTGAGACTTTACCCAAAGAAACTGTTAACACCAAGCCAGAGGGGTCCCTCTGCTCAATCCACAACCCAACATCTCCTTACACTTTGTTCATTTTAGGACCCACAAGATTGAAAATCTCCATGACCTCCACTCTTCTTCCAATCCCAGAAGAAGAATGATCTTTCCCCTGGCAATTATCCTCTCACTCTTGCAAGGCTGCTTCACGTCCTTCACACAGGAGCTGCTCCAAGACTGGTCCCAACCTGCCACCTCCAGTGTTGAAGACATCCTTGAGTGGGTAACTGAATTAGCCTGGCAGGGCGCCCTCTCTGATTACACCCCCGATGAGATTACCCTCTACTCCCTTTTCCTACTATGCACCCTCTCAACCTCTTAGCCCCTGAACACTTGCCTTTTCTCTTCCTCTTGCTTCTTTTCCTAACAGAGACATATGTCACACCCTGTTCACAATGTATAACCAAGGTCTTGGTGGGTGGAAGGACACTTTCTAACCTCCCAGGTCAGCCACCCAGAATCTTTGGGGGAGCCCTACAGGACACATTCACATCCCTGACATACGTTCCCACAACATGCTATGACCAGACAACTGCCACATCATGTTCTTATGGGGGTAAAAACTACTGGATAGCTCTTTCCAAAGGGGACTCTGCTGGAGTCCAGTGTCTGCCCTGACAAAAACATTTCTACTTCACCCAAACCACTCACCTAGACTATAGCGATGGGGGAGGACTTCAGGACAACACATGTGGGACCCCTGACCATGATGGGACTTATCCTTCTTCTTGGTCCCTGCCTCTTTCGGTGTTTCTCTAGTTTCTTACAGGAATGTATGCAGGCCTTCACCAATCAAAAAGTTGCCGAATTCTTCATGGGAGGGGGATATCAGCCCCTCAGAATCAGTGACTCTTCCCCAGAAGAATACAGCCTCCCCACATGAAACCAATACCCTGCCACCTAATTGTTTTACTCGCCAACATAAATCTTTTATTTTTTTCATATCTTTGCCCATCTCCAGCAGGAAGTAGCTTCAGAAGAATGAGACCTCCACCCCTTTTCCCTTCTCCCTATACTTAAAAGGTGGAAATGATGGATCTTGGATGTGACCGGTGCCATCTTGGACATGACCAGCACCATTTTACATACACTCAGCACAAAAGGGCCACCAGCCTTTCCCTTATGAGAAACCTCATGGTTTCTGAGAAATAGAAACTCCTCCACACCAGCACCAAACCCCTCCCTCATTACATCAGCCTTCCTTACAGTCTACATAAGCTCTCCCACACCCACACCTGGTGCTGCCCTCCATTTTGAGCGTAGCCTGGCAGATTTTCTTCCTTTAAAGCTTGATCAGTACCCAGCATTTTGGCTCACTTTCTTTCAGTAAGCTCCTGTTTGCATACCCCAGGCCCAGGGGGAAGAACACAGGAATTTGGCCAATGTACTCATCTTACATTTCCAAAATCCCATATGATTATTTTGATTAAGATTGCTTCCTGCTGTGTGTTTCAATTAAAAAAAAAATCAAGGTATCCCTAGAATGGGAGAAAAGTCTGAATGCAGAATTTGCTATAAAATCTCACTGTAAATTCTTTGATAAAAAGTCTAAGAATGGGTTAGTGAGGTATTTTTTAAGTTTTGGGTTGAATCATCATAATCAGAGCTTAATTTTTTAATTTGCATACTAAAACAGCTCTAGTTTTCTAATATCTTGCTAAAAACCAACTGAAGATTGTTTCTCTCTTTTTAATTCTTTATCAGTTACCTTCAATGCATCTTTAGATGCTATCATTTCCAGTAGAACCAGCAATACAAATACTATGGTGCTAGCATGGACAAAAAAAATAAAAAATCATCTTAAAATGACATTCTTCAACATTGCCCAGGGCATTCATGCTTTTGATTACCACTCTTGGCTCAATTTAGTTGGGATGTAAAATAAATCATAATAACTATAAGGGCCTCATAAATAGTCTGGGGTGCATATTTGTATTCATGGAACCTCCACAACATTGTTTCTTTATTGCCAGAGAGACCAACTTGAACAGTTCACATTTTATTGCCTGAGAATGTCTGATAATAGTGCATTATGATGCACTGTGTATATGAACTACATTGGGGTGAAAATATGAGAATGCTCCCCAATGCTTTAATGAGTCATTTTATTAGAATCGGTGGAGGGTGTAAGTAATATAGAGAAGGAAGAAAGTTCATGCAGCATCCGCCATTCTGCCATTTCCTAACATCACCAGATGCTCCAACCAAAAACACACATCATTTTCATTGCCAACATACACACACACTTGCACACATGTGCTGCATACTACAGAATTGAAAAATGTAGAATGTTTTTCAGTTGCCTTTCAGAATATTATTTCTAATGATATTTAAAAATTTTCTGATTATCATAGCTTTAATTTACTGAAAGAGAGGTCTTTTAATGTAAACAGGTATATTTTAGTTGAGGAAATATAAAGGTATTCAGGCATTAATTATTTAAATAAAATATTTAGACATTATGAAATCCAACAATTGGATATATATGATATTAGTTCAAACATTATAAAAATGAGGTGTAGATGTATCATTGAAAAATTAATAGGGTGATTACAGAGAATATACATGGCCTACAGAATGGATCACATTAACCCTCATTCGATAGCTATCATTCATATGGAGAATAATGATATTAACTAAGGGGCTGGGTCCCTAAAATTCCCAACAATAATAATTGATAATCATGGTAAAAGATAGGTTGAATATGTAGTCAGGAGTATGCCAAACTTTCAAGGAGAACTACAGATATATTAGAGAAGGCTGAAGGAGTTGGTTAATTAGTTTGGCAAGTACTCAAACATCAACCATTTAATTAGTTGATTGATTAATTATTTCAAGCCTTGTACACTGATCACTACTTTGCACCTACCATAGTACTGGAAAAATAAGGGTGAATAAGCTCAGCTCCATAGTCATGCTATATTGAGTTTCCACAGACCTGGATAAGACTATACTTTCTGCTCTTGAAGTGCTCCCTGCATATAACCAATTCATGTTCAAAACTACCTTATTCTATCAATAAAGTAGGTCAAAAGCATATTTGTGCTGCGTATTTGCTTGTACATACTTGATTACTTACATGGAAATGAAAATAATTTGTTACACTTTTTAATTAATTTGAGAACTTTCAATGTTGTTTTAGTTCTTTCTTACTCCTGGGATAACTTTAACACTGTCTACATTCCTATGCTGTGTTGGCTGGAGAAGGGAAACATTGGGACGAGGAAGGATTCTGTCCCCTTCTGGTGGAGCTGCTGGTCAACTCTTAAATGGGACTATATTTTTCCCTTCATCCCATGCCCACCCCTTCTCATGTAAGCCCCTTCCCCTCTACTCCCTCTACTCAACTCTTTCTATTGGCAGAACTCATGTCCTATTAGCCTGGATAGCTGGACAAAGACAAGATTTTCCTTCCTTCAAGGCAGGGTATATTAGTGTTCATCTCATTTCAAAAAGAAAATGCTGTGGGCTATTCATGCTATTAAAAACATTTTTTTCTTTAGATTCTGATTAGCAACTGCTGGAATTAACAATAAAGTTTGCCTTTGGAATCCCTATGTTGTCTCTAAACCAGTGGGTGTCCTTTGGGATCACTCAGCCAGTGTAATAGCCATCCAATTCTTTGCTGAGAGAAAACAACTTTTCAGCTTCTCCAAAGATAAAGTAAGTACCATTGTGCATTTAACTTACTTAATTCTGCCTCCCCAGTTTCTACCCAAATCTATGCTGAGTCCTGAATTTCTCTGAGAGATGCATTCATTTAAAAAATGTACTGGCTAACTACTATGTCTTTGGAAGTCTATATTCGGAAAAGGTGTTGATTGATAGTTACTTAACAGTACTCTTGGGCAACTGAACAAAGTATTTCATTAACATTTTGTTCAAACAATGTACTCATAGATTTAATACTTATTATTGGGCTCTCAATATGCCACATCTTAAGAACTTTTGAAGTTCGCACTAATTCAATAGAAAAAGCAGAAATGGGAATGAGGAAATATCGCTTTGGGAAGATAATAGGAACAGCCAATTAGCTATTATTACCTTGTTATTGAAGAGACTCAGTAAATTAGAAATTGAAGTTAATCTGAAGAATACCAAGTACATTAGGAACATTTCAATTAAGTACATCAGTCCATTTCTATTTGATGATATTGATGGAATGTTTTAAATATGGTGGAAAAAATATGGCACTTGAGCCAGAAAGTCTAGGTTGAATACTGACCAACCTATTTATTACTTAGGAAAATTTCTTAATCTCTAAGAATTTTGTCTTTTGCTCCTCTGTAAAACTTCCATTTTACGTAATGCCTGACTTCAAGATCGAGTTGACATATGATAGATCTCAAGATACTTGGTTATGAAGAGAAAGGCAGAATAGGGTATGACTAAGAGTGTAAATAAGGGTAGCTGATTGGAGACAGTCTCTGAGACTCTTTCAGTGAACCTGAATTTTTTTCTATGCTAAAGCTAAAATGGAAATTAATCTTCAACTCCTTACCCACACCCTACCTATAAATCCTACCAAACTTACTTATTTTACTATATTGTCTACTATGTAAATATTTTCCTTTTCCCTTAAACTTCACCAATTCCTGTTGATTCTACCATTCAAATATGTTTATCAATCTCATCTGTATTAGTTGGGTTCTCCAGAGAGACAGAATCAATAGGATACATTATAGTTATATGAGAGCGATTTATTAGGGGAATTAGCTCACGTGACTAAGAAGAAAAGTCCCATGATAGCCCGTCTATAAACTGGATGCCAGTAGCGTGGCTCAGTCCAAGTCCAAAGGCCTCAAAACCAGGGAAGCTGATGGTGTCCTTGGTGTAAATCCTGGAACCCAAAAGCTGAAGAGTCTTGTGCTCTGATGTCCATGGACAGGAGAGAAGAGTGTGTCCCAGCTCCAGCGGATCGAGAGAGAGCTTCACCTCTTTCCTCTGTCTTTTGTTCTCTCTGGGACCCCAGCGGATGGGATGGTTCCCACCCACACTGAGGGTGGGTCTTTCACACCCAGTCCGCTCAGACTCTCATACTAATCTCTGCTGGAAACACCCTCATGGACACACCTGGAAAGATTGCTTTACCAGGTTTCTCAGCATTCCTTCATCAAAACCATTTGACACCTAGAATTAACCTTCACATCATCTCTTAATCTCAGCTTTCCCCCAAATACTGCAAAGGTTTTCTGAGCAATCTCCCTGCTTTTGGATTGTTCTGACTCCAATTTTCTCTCTATTCTGCCAATCAAGTAGTTTGCAAGGAAAATTGTTCAATCCCTCATTTCTGCAGTTCATCTCAATATCAACTCTAAAATTCTTTTGTACAAAGCCCTCTCCCCTATCAGCCTTACTTCCTTTCCTGCTTTTCTCTCTCTTTCTCTCTCTCTCTCTCTTTTTTTTTTCATTTACTGCTCCAGCCATGTCAAATTATTGGCTTTTCCTACCATGCAGTTTCATGGGTTTGCCACATGCTCTTCTTCTGCTTTCAATTCTTTCTTTCCATTAATTGGAAGATGCCTATTCATCCTCCAGGTCGCAGACTTTTTGGAGTCTCTCATGCAGACCTAGGTGTTTCTGTGCATTCTGGTTGCACCTGTGTGTATCTCATTGGAGCGTATGTCATGTCATACTGAAATTGTTAGTTTGCTTACTTAAGAAGGGTTAGTATCTTTTCAGCTCATATTCTTGGTATCTATCATGGAGCTTGGCACCTTGTAGTGTTTATTCAATGTTTATTTGTTGGCAGCTTGAAGTGAAGACACATTACTGTGAATCTAAAGTACCAAAGAAACTCAGAGTGAAACCTTTTACGATGTCCTAGTTAGATTTATTTGTGCTATTTTTTGAGATCTTTTAGCACTTCCATTATTGAATTTAACACAATCTGACTTGTATACTAGAACATTGTAGATGTACTTTGTATCTTTCACTAGATTAAACACTTGTTGAACACGATATTTGAAATACTGTAAGTATCAACTAAATGATAGGATTCATGAGGTTAGGGCCTATGTCTTTCCTGAATTATGTCTTATACATACCAGGTCCTCAGTAAACTGTAGTTAGGTGAACGAATCTTTATCAAACATAAATATGAAACAAATACCAAATATTTTATCATTATAGAGTTCCCTGAAATGTGTTAAAACTTTAAAAGCAAGTGAAAAAAATGTCCTGTACACTCAGAATTGATTGTGTACAGCTATCATCAATGTCAAGACTACCTGGCCTCTTCCAAAAGCAGTTTTGTGCTTCTATTTTTGTTTTACTTCTAAACCATTACAGTATAATAAAGCTTGTCATGCTGTCTTTCATGTTAATCAAAATTCATTTCACTTTGATAAATGCATGGTAATCTCAGTCTTTTTGTTTTTACAACAAACAACAGGCTTTCTGCTACCAGGTTAAGCCTCTGCTTTACTGCTATAAAATTTTTTTGGATATTTTATAGGATTGGGGCTAAATTAGGGAACAGGAAAAATGAAAAAGGCATCCTTTTTTTTTCAAGGAACCTTTGATTGAAAGATGTTTTGGTCAATGAGTTACTAAATTAAAGGATTTGTAGACCAAAGCAATTTAGATTTAAATAATTCCCTCCCAAAATTATCTGAGACGTTAGTTCTTTTTTGGATGACTGCTCTATTGCCACTTGCCAGTAATGTTAAACAGTATGTTTATCCCTATAGAGTTTGGTGTCATACTAACAGTCCAGTTACATTCTGTATTGGACTCCGAAACTGTTTCACTTAAGATGACAGTCATCGGTGGCAAGGTCCTGCTGGAATCCAGTAATCTGGTCTTTGGGAGAAGGAACTACCATGGGGAATAAAAGGATTTTCAAAGCCTGGGGGATATCTCTCTGCTGGGGATTGGCATTCCAACCAGTGAGCCTACTTCAGCTTGTCCATTGTTCCTGACTATTCTCTCCTAGGCTGCTGACCTGATTTAGTCACTAGAATCAGATCAGTTTGTAATTTAATCTTCGTTTGAGGTTCCAATTTTTCCCAGAGTCTGGTTTCTATATTGTAGACCTGTGGTTGGTAAGGAAACTACAAAGTAAGACTTTTGTGTTGGTAACTGCATCTTACCTGTTTGTCTTTTCTCTTCTCCATATCAACCTCCCACCCCAACTTCCATCTGTCGTTGGAAGCAAAAGTATTTTAATTTTGTTTAAGTTGCACAAATAATTACATAAAAATTACAAATGATAAAGAAGCATGTAGTACAAAAGTGAATATTCCTTTTGCTCATTTCCCCTTCAAATTAATTCCTCTCCCAAGAAATAACTATTATTATTAACACTTGATGTGTCTCTTCTCATTGTTTTGTTATATACTTAATACATTATGTATTATATTGTATTATTATAATATATGGTATTATTATACTATATGGTATTATTACAATATGTTGTTATATATATATTTATTAACACTTGATGTGTCTCTTCTCATTGTTTTGTTATATACTTAATACATTATGTATTATTTGTATTATTATAATATATGGTATTATTATACTATATGGTATTATTACAATATGTTGTTATATATATATATTTCCATGTGTGTGTACAAATACAGGGTAGTACTTATTTTTAGTTTTTATTTAAATGGTTTNTTTCCATGTGTGTGTACAAATACAGGGTAGTACTTATTTTTAGTTTTTATTTAAATGGTTTCACAAGAAACATATTTCTCTAAAACTTCCTTTTCCCTAAACAATATCTCTTGGGGATCTTTCTATGTAAGTAAACATGAACTTGATTTTTTTATCTTTTTTTCTTTTTGCTACATAGTAATACATGGTATGGATGGCCATAACTTAATTATTCAATCACCTATTGGTTAAAATAGATATTGTATCTAATTTTTTTCCTTTATTAACCATAACACACTTGTGCACGCATCATTAAGACCTCATAGGTAAATTTCCTTGTGATAAATTCCTAGCAGTAATGCTACTGGATTAACAACAAATGTTGCCTATTTCAATGCAGATATTTTGTACCAATTGGCATATTCATCAGAGGTGTATAAAAGTGCCTTTTTCTCCATACTTTTGTCAACAGTGGAAACCATCAATGTGTTCATTTTTTTTGTAAATTTGATGGACAAAAAATGAAGTTGATTTTATCAAATATTTATTGGCCATTCATATTTCCTGATTTTTTTGTATTATCTAATCATGCTCTTTATTTTATTTTTTTTAAAACTTGACTGGCTTTTTAAATTTATTTCCAATAGCTTGAAAAAACTATTATCTTTTGTTTATTATATGTTACAAATATTTATCTCTTTCAAGCATACATTTTTAAGCTTTGTATACATTATTTTTCTTATTCAAGTTTTTAATCTTTATGAAGGTGAGCTAAGAAATGGTTTGCTTTATGGCTCTGGATTGTGTGTCTAGCTTAGAAATGTCTTCCACCCCTTCTGTTTATAAAAAAAAATTCTCCTTTATTTTCTGCTAATACTTTTTCTATTTTTTTTCTTTTTATTGCACTGCACTTTGCAATTTAGTTTTTTGTTAATTTTTTTTTCTCCAAAAGGATATCCAAGATTATTTTTTGAATAATCTGTCTGTCCTATAAGTTTGAAATGCCATTGTTATCATCTGAATTACTTTACATCTATGAAATTGTTTCTATATATGTT